TGCCAACTCTGAAATGCTTCGATTCAACGCTATTTACTCTCAGGCAGCACCTGCCATTAAAAAAACAGTGATTGGATAACTCGTTGCAACGGGCCACCGATCCCTATGTTAGCAGGCATGACCACGAAGGACCTGTGCGCGGAACCAGATCATAGGTTTTTTTCTAAGTCAACAAGGCTCATGCACCGGATGATAGATCTCCCAAGGTTTTTGAACAATCTGGCATAGGGCGACTATTTGGTCAGCTGTGTTTTGGATCGACCGGAAATCACATTACTCTTCCTCGATTTTGGAGTCAGTTATTCAACCACACCTCCTCTCAAGCACCTCTACCTGAACCTTACCCGGGTTGCTCAGTAAAATAATGTCCCGATAACTAGAGCACTATCTGTGGTTTCCTTTCTTGAACAGGAGTGTTACAGCGCCAGCTCTTCAGTCCGCTGGTGTCTTCCCGGTAGACAACGCAGTTTAACAGACACGTGTAAGCCAGTAAGTTCCTTATTCGCCCATTTCTTTGAGCATTTCAGCAGCCTTTGTACTGCTCAAGTTTTTCACAGTTTGCGTATTTTTATCCACAGAAATAATAACATCCGTTTCCTGCTGCTACAGGCGAGTTTTCCTGTGGTTGCTTCGAGTTAAAGGTTCCTGAAAGCATTTTCTCTCTCGGCGAAGAATGTCATCATTCTTGGTAATAGGGTGTACAGATCTGTCCTTCAAGACTCTTAGACTGCCCTTTTCTACACCTCGGAGCCGGTGGATGGTCTGTCAGAATACTTTGTTTGCCATGTAGAAATTTGACCACAAAACCTCGCCGAATTTCTACTCGGAATCAGCTTTCACTACTGCTTTCGCTGTCGCCTTGCATGCTCGACATATGGCAGGCGAGTAGAAGTCTCCTTGTTTCCAAACCATTTCTTGAGCGCTGCGTTTTTCTCTTTTACTGCCAGTTGCACTTCTCGTGTCCACCATGAAGATCTTTTCTGACCTCAAGGCGGCAAGCCAACCCGTTTATATCCGCAGCATTCGGCAGCAGCCTCGAGTATGCCGCTCTTAGAGACCTACCACTCGGTTTCAACATCAGTTGTCATCACCGGGATCTGTTCAAACCGTCGTGCGATGTTTTTTGCAAGTTTCGCTCTCGTGTCGACCGAAGGTTGCTTCTGCCACCGGATCTTCGTATGGTACTCCATTTCCTACAGCGCAGCGTGCCAACAACAAGGTGATGATCGGTTGATAGCTCTGCGCCTCTTTTAACACGAGCATGCATTACTGAGCATCAAATTATCAAATCAATCATCGACTTCTGTGCAGAAGCTTCTCTACGACAGGCATAGTAATGCACTCTTCGATGCTCGAAGAAGATGTTCATAATAAACATGCCTTTGCTTGCACAAATTTGCAACAATTTCATGCACTTTTTGTTGAGGTCTCTATGGTCGTTCTCTTCAATCAGGCCTTTCCATGTCTGCTCTGACATGCCCATTAGGGACTCAGTGGTTGGCACTTTGCACAAAGCATCTTCCACTTTGACAAAGAAGTACTCATATTCACCATCCAAATTCGGACATAGACCCGTATTAAGGTCAAGGCTTTAGCCTGTTGGAACTTCAGTCGAAGAGTTGCCTCTCTTCAGCTGAATGGCTTCGTTTCAATGACTCTGCCAGCGAGATTGTGTTCTGCATGAACACCAACATCAGCCTTAGGTCGGGTTGTAGAGTCGACACCTGAGTGACATGGCTTCCATTCGCAAAAGTTAAGAATTTCACAGTCTTGGGGCTGATGAGACAAACTACTTCGAGACGTTATCTTGCAGTCTGATCGACTAGCTCCTGTTCTTTCCTTCTGAGTGAGGATATGTTCCAATTTCCGACTGTACGTCTCCCTGTAGGTGTCGTCCCCGTAGAGACTTATCTGACGTGTTATAATGACATAGCGGTGTCTGTCTCCTCCGTT